AAATTGAGTACACTTAATTTTCATCACATCCATCATAAACAAAACCAAAAATTAATTTATTCACAAGTAATACTGTTGTGGATGCGAGATATTCCAAAAAGAACTCTTTTGTTGAATCAGCTCAGACATCAAAATAACAAAACTCCAAAGAAAAGCCCTAATACAGTTTCAAAAATGACATGTTTATTCTTACTCATTAGAATTCTAAGCATAATCACAGTCTCTCGATACATTGCTGCTACCACAAAAAAATGTTCACAAGAAAAATAGTTACTATTCCATATTGGAGATATGTGCTAGCTTAGTACATTAATATTTATCATACATTCTTATTTTTATTGATTACTTATGCAGATAATATTTTTAATTAGGAAATTGTTGGTGGTTTATATCAAAACGTTTTATCTCTGAGAAATTTTGCAAATTTTCTATTTAAAAATACCACATAACTTTATAATGTTATTTTTAAAAATTATAGTGAGTCTAGCCCAAACTGTAAAAACAGCAGGGAACTATAAACACAGTTCAGAACCTCCCATTGAAACTAATTCTAAGAGGATGGGTTTCTAGGGAAAATTGCTTATTGAATTTACCATTCAAAGGTGTGATGGCTCACCAGCGGCCAAGTGGTAAAGTCACTGAAACCTGGTAGTTTAACCTAGATTCACTTTCAGGCAAACGGACTACCTGCACAGGTGTTTTTGTGGTTTTCCCCATATATAACATGGATACAAGGCAGTTGACCTGAGAAAATCCCCCACAAAGGCATCTCTTTCCTTACTCAGATAGCCTTTGTGTGCTTTGATGTAATCAAACCAACTAATCGTAGGTGTGCTAGCAGTTTTGAACAGACAGAAAGAAAATCACCAAACTTGAGATAAAAATTATGATTAAGGAGAAGTAAGGCCTTTTTTGCCTTAACAAAAAAGGTTTTTTTAAATTTTTCTTTTTAAAAAATAAGAGTTACTGTTTCTTATTTCAAAAATATGTAACACATGTTTAGGTTTTAAGTACTACGCACTTGTAATTAATATAAAAGATTCAAATTAAGATAGGCACACTTTTTTTTTTTTTTAAAGAGAGTTTTAAGAAGTAGATTTTAATTGATACTATCAGTATATTTTCTAATTATTATTCTCAATTTATGTCAGCAGTATTGCGCAAAATTTCTATTCAGAATTACAAAGTTAGCAACAAAAATAACTTTTCAGATTATCAAGTTTGAAGAATAATATACTTGAGCATATTTATGGCTGGATCATACCTTTTAACCATAAGTTTATTGTTGTAGAATCGTTGACAGTTGGGGAGGAGGATATCGTTAAGTGTTTTGAGGAACTTATATTTGGGAACTCAAGTGCTGAAAATTGCAAAGATCAGTGCAGATGTGTATAAGGCAGTTCTAAAGGTTAACAACATCTGTTCTTTAAAGTTGTAATAATGATTTATGTAATCACTTAGAAAACAAGAATCCTTAAAAGAAAACATGAAGCTACACAACCATCATTACAACATAATTATAGTGCAAAAAATTAAAAATCTTGGAAGAAAATGTATTGAAACAATGTTTGTTTTTCTCAAAATGACTAGATTTTTCTAAAATTCTATCTATAAAACAAACCTTAAATTTTATTTCTGAATATATTGAGTGAAACTATTGTAATTTATCTCGAAAAAGAAACAAATTATTGAGACTCTAATTTTTGCCCCCGCCTCCTCTATTTTTCTTTTTTTTTTTTTTTTTCCTTTTTTCTTTTTTAAGAATTCCAGTTTTTTTTCATTAAGAATTTTTCCACACTTTTTCACTCTACGTGCTTAAATAAAAATAGGTTCACTTAAATTTATGACTATATCTGCAACTATGAATGCAAATTTAAACTGATTGTACGTGTGAGAAAAATTTTTACGTAAACCTTTGTGCAATGAGTATCTAAAATCTGTCACTTCAAGGACCAGTCATAATTTTTTCAAAAAATATAATTTTAAGGATAAAAATAAAAATTTTACTTTGCCATAGTAAAAATAATGTACATAGTCTTTAAATAAAATGTAGTGTGTGCATAACTTAATCACTGGATAACAAAATTAAGTAGAAACATAATTTTGCTAAGTAAGCAGAAATAATTTATATCAGTAAAATCTTTAGTTCAAGATATATCATTTGTTTTAATATTTTTCAATGGCTATATATAACCTGTTTAGTTACAGACAAAATGGTGTCATGCAATGGGAAAGCTATGTGCATTCTCTGGTTATGGGAAATGAAATCTGAAAACAGTTCAGAGGCTACACAGACATGAGTTTAATAAACCTTCACCAATGGAATGATCAATTAAAAGATGATTAAAAAAGAGTTTCAAGAAACCATACATTACTTGCCCTACCTGCACTTCCTTTATGTTTTGCATAAAGGAAGTGCAGGTAGGGCAAGCGTCAGTGATGAAAATGTTTCTGCCATTCGAAATGGGTTCATACACAGTAAATCCATTCACCGTGCTTGCCTGCCAATAGGAATTCCCAGGTCGACTGTTCGTGAAATTGTTCATGAATGGTTGAAATGTTTGAATGTTTTTTCAGAAAATCATATAATTCTTATTGGAATACGCATGTGCGTGATTTCCTTGATAAACCTTCCCAGATAGTTGAACTGGCAGAGGCTGACCAATTTTCATGGCCAGTCCATTCTCCAAACATCGCACCACTCGACTTCTTTTTTCTGGGAATACTCGAATAATAAATAAAAAACCAAATTTGTGCTGCAGAGATACACAACCTCGAGGAATTAAAAAAATTGAATCACCATAGAAACAGCTACTGTGACTCCACAAATGTTTAAAGACATCTAGAGGGAAATCAAAAGCAGACTTGATATTCTCTGAGCAACTAATGATGCTCATGTAAGTGTAGAAATGTAGAATTCTTTGAGGTGCTAAGTAAAATTCTGTCAGTTCCCCCCTCATTTCATACTCTGTATTATTTAACACATATCTTTATCCAGTGAATAAATTGTGGAAGCCCTGTGTTTTGAATTTATTATGAGTTCTAACTACTATCAGGTTAATAGTAAGGGAAATTATTGCATTTTTCACTGTTGAAAAGGTTTTGCTACTCTTAGCAGTCTAAACACTTCTGCCAAAGTTCTTCAGTTTTACTTTAGCTGTTTTTACAATTCCAATGACCATCAACTCAGAATTATAACGTAGACAATATATTGCATAAAATAAACATTTACAATCACAGGAAGTGGCCAGAAATTCAAAATTAAATAAAATGCACAGTAAATAAACATAAAAATCACTGTACAAAATATGATAAATAAGTAAGCATAAACTATAAAGACAAATTAAAACTACATAAAACTAATTTGCAAACAAATAAACATGAATATTAAAGTCTGTCCTATTATCGTTTACCTGCAAGCACCATTTCATATTCCATATGATGTTTATATATTTCTGTATTTTGTTTGCCACATGAAAGTAATTTTTTGCTAAGGTAAGTCCTTTTAAGATAGTAACTGTATGTAAAAAAAAAATGCTCTAAACTGCATCATTTCAAAAATAATCCATCGTATATGATTTTTGGTAGTGCTCATAACACATGTACTTACACAACGCTTCAGCCAATAATAAATTTCAAATCTGGGAGCCGAACCTTAAAACTTACCAGTCAAAATAAAATTTAATCAGAATTAAATTGCTCTGAACTGGGAACTCTCTGTTCTTAGACATGGTGCATTCTGTCTCTCCCTTTTCAGATATTAATTTGCTAATGCTTTTTTTCTTTAAACATATATAAACAATATAGAAGGTACTGATGTCAGTCTCCAAAGTGGGTGCGTACTGAGCCATTTTATCATAGTTTGTTTAAAAATCATTCTAATGGAAATTGAGAAATATTATACCAGCAATGGATGCTGCATCGTCATTATGCACCAAACTCTTATCACTCTATAATCAGCTTATTAATCTATAGTAACTGTCATGTCAGCTTCTAAATAATCATAATATATATAAATATTAGAATAGAATTTTTGTAATAATAACAATAATAAAAGTAAAGAAACATACCTTGTTTTTTATAAGTACCGCTCCGTGGTTTATTGGGCGTTTGCATGCCTCACAAATCTAAGAGGGTAAAATTATGTAAAAATTGGAACTCAAATATACGCTAACATAAATAAACTAAAAAGCTAAAATGCTGGTATAAATATTTGCCATTAATTTGTATTGACCCATTGTATATGTGCATGTGTATATAATATATGTACCAAAATTAAAATTTAGAAGCAGTACTGTTGTAATGTTGTTAGGCGTAGAATATAGATGCATACTGAAGAGGAAACTTGGCAGCTGAGTAAGATTAAATTCCATTTTTTTTTTAAATTCAGATTTGTGGCGACAATCATTTGGCATTCTAATTCTGCCTATTTCCAGAACATTTACATTTTTTAATACTACTGCGATTGGAAGAAAGCACAATTAAATAGCTTCCAAGCAGCACAGTTCAAGCTAACTGTGTGCATTCACCCAATATGGCCAAACTGTTAAGAGAGAGGTTTTGGTTTATGTTAGAAAGGTTTCGGTTTTCAGAGTTTATGTTCCAAAATAACTACATCATCATTGCGCAGGCTCTGGCATAGATTTTATCTAGAAATGACACAGTCCAGAAATGTTACTGCAATTTTTAGAATAAAGAGAGGAAATACTGAAATAAAAAATGAAGAATTTAAAGCCTATTGTTAAATTGAGTTTATAAAGATGATTTACATATTTTTTAATATATAATTAAATTAAAAGCAGGCAATCTTATGAATTTATAAATGGAAAACAAAGATAAAAATTATTGTAAAAAGTAAACAAAGTTGCAAATTTAGGGGATTTATTAGGACAAAAATCAATAGCCTTTAGATGAGATTGACGTTTGAATGAAAATTTAAATATAAATAAAATTAAAATAAAAAGAACACAAAACTGATACAAATGTTTTGTCACTCTCAGATTCATGAGATTCATGATCATACTTCTTCAGGACATGGAAAAAATTTGACACTGATGCTACTATATCTAGAATACTAGATTCATTTTTCTTCATCCCAAGTCAGCAGAGGTAACTAAATTTATTATTTTAAAATTATTTGTACTGCTGAAAATTTAAGGACATCACTGCTACAGATCTATTTTCCTAAATCTAATGTAAATACAGAAGTAAAATCAAAATTCAGTTTGAAGTTCAACATACCTGAAAATGTCCAGTAGTTGTAAAATGGCCAAAACAAATTTCTATAGAAGAAAACTATGCACAATTGTGAAAAGGGAGTTCAAATAAATAAAGGAAATAACCATCTTGTATTAAAGATTTATCATTGCTTATTAATGACATGTCTGCATACAAAAATTATTAAACCTGAAAAGGCCAAGGTTAAAAAATGACTTGCTCTTAAATATGCTTAAATACTTTTAAATTAATTTTTTGGAATATATTTATTCATGGATTTAGATACTTGTACTTAATTTACATATGCTTTCAGAATTTAAATGATATTGTAGATTAGTTTGCAGCAATAATTAATCATTTATTTGTACACCAATTAAAATTTTAATTTTAATCAACTTTAAATTTGCTTTATACGAATAGGAATGTTTGTTAAATTCAAATATATATTATAAAGTGAAAATAAATATAAAGTAATTGATATTGCTATTGTTAAAATTATAAAAATCAAAATTCATTGCTAGTAAAAAAAAAAAAAAAAAAAAAAAGGAAAAACTGCATGCACTGTAGCTTGTGAAAGGACTCGTGCAGTGATGTCTAAAAAATTTTTTTTTCTAATATTGGTAGTTCAGTATTAAACAGTGTGGTAACCATTTAGGCAATCATTACACATTTCAGCTAACTTCATGAGTGTGTTGACGAGAAGAAACTTAACAACTTTCTTTGCATATGCAAAAAAAAAAGTAACATTACTCGCAGGTTAGAAGATTGCTTTTAATGCTGTTTGAATTCAGAATAATTGATTTGTTAATCAGATAAGCTGAGGACCAGGGCAGCTGCACTGGGTAGCAGAATTTGGCGAAGGCAACATTTTTAGAATTTAGAGAAGGGACTGGGATGCAGAATTTAGGGGCAGAAAAATATTTTGAATTTATGGAAGTGCTTGGGATTTTAGCCCTGCAGAGACTGCATCGGACCTCAAAATGTCTAGCACTGGCTGTGGAAAAGCCTTATGTATATGTGAAAATTTATTTATTTATGACTTAGCCTCAGTAATGTGTGGGAAATGCATGTAGTGTAATAAATAACCTACATAATTCAAGCTTATCTTCGTCAGTGTGCAATAGAAACAAGATAAAATTTAGTGAAACATGTCCCTTAAGTCGCTAGTCCCATGAAATAATGCCAGTAGTATATAGCAGCTGCTAGCTAAGCTTTATGAAAATGAAGATAATTATTTTAATTGCAATGACTATGCCCCAATCATTAGTCAGTTAACAGGCAGCGAAATCTGTAATATGATTCTAAATCCAGAAAATATCACTGCCAGTCTTGAAGAAGGTGTCAGAGACCATCGAGAAGAAAATAATTTCAGTTGAAAATTTAGTGGGAATTATCAATGTGGCAATTACCAGACTTGAGCAATGGAACTTTGTAAATGAAAAGAAATTATGTCTGTCTATAGAATTAAAGAGAAAAGTATTAGCCCGCCCCCAAAAAAGCAAGTTAAATAACTTACATTGAAACATATGTTTAACGAAAGAAACAAATAAATATTGGGCCTTTTTTTTTTTTTTTAATTTTGATTCCCATAAGGTCAGAAATGCTTCATTATTTTATAAATCACTATTTTATTTTTAAAATTTTGTAATTTCTACATATCATTTTACTAGACTTAAACTGATGATCTAATATCTGGAATCTCATAACTCCCAGCGAGTCCAGATCCTTGGACTTTGTACTGTATGTATTATACATTTCTCTTTGCTTATGTTGTACCTCACAATTGCTAGTTTCTAAGAAACAAAAACTTATGAGAAAAATACTTACCACCACAGGGTGTCGTCGCGGGTCTTCTGGAGGTTTTGGTTTTTGAGGAGGGGGAGGGCTTGAGTTTTTTTTTGCTTCTGCCCTGAAAAAATAATAAAGTTATTTTCATCTTATTAAAAATATACATATATAATTTCAAAAGGTCAAGTTCTTTGGTTACAAGTGAGTGGAAGAAGTTTAGGGACAGTGGTTTTCAAAATACTGTGACAGAGGGAATCCATTAAACTAGAATTTTTGTTTGTAAAGTCCTGACCATCGTAAGGAAATTGAAGCTTAGAAAAACACTGAAAATACACCGAAGTGACAAAAGCCATGGGATAGCAATATGCAAATATACAGATAGCAGTAGTATCGTGTAGAAAATGTATAAATGCGAAGTGCTTTGGCAGAGCTTTCATTTGTGTTCAAGTTATTCATGTGAAGAGGCTTTGACATGATTATGGCCGCACGACGAGAATTAACAGACTTTGAGCGCGGATTGGTAGTTGGAGCTAAATGCATGAGTCATTCCATTTCGGATATCGTTAGGGAATTGAACATTCCGAGATCCGTAGTGTCAAGAGTGTGCCGAGCGTATCTAATTTCAGGCATAACATTCCACCATGGACAGCGCAGTGGCCGACCACCTGCACTTAACGACCGAGACCAGCGACGTCTGTGTAGAGTTGTCAATGTTCACAGACAAGCAACACTGCGTCAAATAACCACTGAAATCAATGTGGGACATACGAGGGACGTGTCCGATAGGACGGTGCGGCGAAATTTGTTTTCCTTGGGCTATGATAGCAGAAGACTGACTTGAGTGCCTTTACTGACAGCACGACATCGCCTGCAGCGACTCTCGTGGGCTCGTGAGCATATTTTTTGGTCCCTAAATGAATGGAAAACCGTGGCTTGGTCAGATGAGTCACGATTTCAGTTGGTAAGAGCTGATGGTAGGGTTCGAGTGTGGCGCAGACCCCATGAAGCCATGGACCCAAGTTGTCAACAAGGCACTGTTCAAGCTGGTTGTGGTTCCATAATGGTCTGGGCTGTTTTACATGGCATGGACTCGGTCCTCTGGTGCAACTGAACCGATCATTGACTGGAAATGGATACCTTCAGCTACTTGGAGATCACTTACAGCCATTCATGGACTTCACTTACTCAAACAACGATGGGATTTTTATGGATGACAACGCGCGATGTCATCGGGCCACAATTGTTCACGATTGGTTAGAAGAACATTCTGGACAATTCCAGCGAGTGATCTGGCCACCTACATCGTCCGACATGAATCCCATTGAACATTTATGGGACATCATCGAGAGGTCAGTTTGTGCCCAAAACCTTGCACCGTCAACACTTTCACAATTATGGACGTCTATAGAGGCATCATGCCTCAATATGCAGGGGACTTCCAACGACTTGAGTCCATGCCATGTCGAGTTGCTGCTCTTCGCCGGGCAAAATGGGGACTGACAAAATATTAGGAGGTAATCCCATGACTTTTGTCACTTCAGTGTATATCAGGGCTTTATGTGGAAAGTAGAAAAATCATTAATTCAAAATAATGTTTTTACAGAACAATTTGAACACATGCTTCATAAGTTTAGTTTTTAATTTAATAAGGATTTAAATTTATGTTTAACGGTTGGAAAAGTAATTATTTGCATTTTTTTATACAAAATAATGTTGCATGCAACTGATTTGTACAGTGTGTAAAATAATATTATGTAAAATAATTTATTAAATTTGTAGATAATTTGTAAATAATTGTAATTGCCTTAATGAACAATATTCCAGTACGTATTTTTGGCACTTGTCACCCATATTTAACTAGTTGGCGCTCTCGTTTAAGAGTGCGCACCGTTTTGTGTTGCCAGAATCGAGCCATGATGAGTATATTCGTCAATCACAGAGTAAGTTGCGCTGGTAAGATATTTGATGAAAAAGATGGGTTTATTTTTTAAATTAAAATTTTTATTACTAATATTTACGTATTTCGTTTATAGAAGCATATACAGTCAAAAGTCGTTAATCCGGACTCGTGGGTAATTTATGAAATAAAGAACAATTATGATATAAAAGGGTATCAAAATTTACAAAAAGAAAAAGCTTAATATTTATTTGTTTACTTTATTAAGCATTTCTTTCAATGTAAGTTGTTTAAGTTGCTTCGTTTCATGTGATAATACTTTCTCTTTAATTCTATTAAACATACATAATTTCTTGTTTAGTTACAAAGTTCCGCTGTTCAAGTCCTATAATTGCTGTGTCGAGAATACCGACTAATTTGTCAATCGAAATTTTTTCGTTTTCAATAACCTTTGTTACTTTCTTAACTATCGGAAGCGAATTATAATGACGAGGAACTTGTTTTAAATAATATCAAAGATTGAGTAGATAAAATACTACATTTAGTAAGGAATTATAAGCCGAATAAAATAAAAACATCTGCCTTGAAGATAAGGATAGTGCTGACAGATCAACTTCCAATTCATTGCGCGCCGCGGCGTCCCCCCCCCCCCGCCGAGCAGCGTGAAATTGATAAACAGATTTCGGATTTTGAAACATACTTTCGCTTTGTAGATCCTTTACATATTAGCAAATATATATCAGAAATTCTATTTGACATAATCGAAAGTTCAAGCTTACTTTTATAAAATTGCTCTAACAGTCTGCAAAAAATAATAAGCCGGATCCAATTCGAAGATTAAGGAACAATGCAATCTGCAACATTAACTGAATTAGATAATTTTAGCTTAGCTTATACCGTCCGTTATACATTAAACGCGCATGCGTAAACGTTTATGCGCACACGCATATTCGCAGCCATAAAGGTCTTATGCGCAAACTTTCTGTGCATGCGTCGCCTGCGCAGAAAGTTTGTAGCTTTGAGGTCCGGATTATGGGTGTCCGAATTAACGACTTTTGACTGTATTGCATATTAAACTAAAAATGCAATAAATTAAATTAAATATTATACATCTAAAAGTAAGAATTTAAACTTCTGCTGTGGAGTAATATTCAGCGATGGGACTTTGCAAATCGAACACCAGTAATGCGATTCCTTCTTGATCATA